CAGACAGCCTCCCCTGTGGTTTGTGGGTGCAAAAGAAGAGGTGAGGTATATCAGAAATATTCACTCTGAACCTCTCTGACCAAGTGTTATGCCATTGCTCTATCAGGAAGAATTTTCTGTTAAAATCTGCTCATCTTCGGTGTGGAAATCAAATACCAACATACATGGGTAACTGAAACATATGTACATTACAATTTATAGTTAAATACGGTAGTTTTCAAGCAAATTAATTAATATAATCTTCCAATCTTACAGTTTATATGTTCATTTTTACTGTAAGCCCAGCTCCTACCTGTTTCTATGGATAGATACAGAAGCTCCTGCAATAATTCCACAAATGTGTTATTATATATATATATATATATATATATATATATATATATATATATGATGGGATTGAAATCACATCATCAAATTTTTCAGTCTTTAATTTACCTTTGGGCAGTATCTTGCTTTTCTAGCAGAAGAGTCCAATCTATGCTTTCTTCTTGCCACCAAGTTTAGCTTATAACTCATCTACCCTGGTAACTATTTGATTAATATCAGCTTGCATGCTTCATTTCTCCAGCTGTATAGGATTTGTGTCATTGGCTTATAATGCAAAGTAAACCTAGACTCCATGATGCATAGCACTGTCCTGTTGTAGGGCACTCAGGTACAGAATATTCTCTTAGGAGTTCTATTTGCTCACTTCAGGGTAATAAATATCAGGATATACTGTGAAGCAGCAAGAAAAACTAGGCTTCCAGGTGCTGCAAATGGAATATGGAAGAAGACAGTTTATGAATATTTTTCCTATCTTGTCAGGAGAGAAATAGAAGAAAAACTTGTTCCACGACCCAAGGAAAAGCTTTGGCAAGTGCCATTATATCTCAGTTCACAGCTCAGCTCTATCCTATTTATCTCATTCCCTACTAGAGTTAAAGACTTAGAAAATAAAAATAAAAGACTTCCTATGAAATTTGAATTTCAGATAAATGTTAAATAGTTTTTTTAAAGAATTAAGTACTTGCCAAATGCAGCCACCCATGAGCCTTTCGACAAACTGTTTAACCTGAAGGCAGTAATTCATATTGTAGAGTTGTCATAATGATAAAAATGCAAATACATTCCCTAAATTAGGGCAAGGATCAGGCAGATGCTCAGGAAACATTAGTCAAATGTTTGTTGTTTTCTTCATCTTCCCTGAAACTTCTTTCAATTATTCCCCTGACCTTTCTGAGAAGAATTTTCCATAGCTTCCATCTCTTCAGAGCAAGCTTTACCTGTCCTAAAATAGCAGTTGTCTTGAGTTTTAAGGCCTGCTTTGTAAGGACAGTAGAGATATACCAAGGGCTTTCCTTTGTTTATCTGTCTTTTTTGTTAGTATTTGCCAGGTGTAGTTTCTAATGTATTTTTTATTATGAACTTTCTAGGTCTTTGTATTTATGATGTTTTTTTTTTTTTTAATTTTAAAGAGGGTAAAAACAAAACAGAACAAAGCAGACCAAAAGAAAGCAATGTAAGTGACACAGATTTTAAAGCAAGACAGCAGGAGATCTACAGTGGCTACCATAACATCTCTTGTTTTCTTCTAAGTAGGTGTCTATATCTTCACACACAATGAATTCGTATGCAACAAAATAGTATAAAATTGATCAGAACAGAGTAATGAAGGCATTATAGGCCTTCAGACCAGACAATAGGAAAATCAGCAGTGGCTGCCATAAAGTCTCTCATTCTCTTCAAAACAGCTGTTTATGCTTTCATGTCCCCCCACCCCCGTCCCCACTCCCGCAGCCTCTCCAGCATTTGTTGTTGGTAGTTTTCTTGATCCTGGCTATTCTTTCTGGAGTGAGATGGAATCTCAGTGTGGTTTTACTTTGCATTTCTTAAACAGTGAACTCCTGAGTTTGAAACAAAGTCAAATACTCTGTTTAAAAAGCACTTAGAATTTGGTCCACAGATTATTTATTAATAAAGTGTGAGCTAGTCACTACTTTTTAATTTTCTCTTTCTGGGTATGGTTTTGCAGGGTTCATTCCCCTGCCTTTCCCTTCCTGCTGCTTCTTTCCTTCTTTCTCTTACTTTTTCCTTTTTTATCTCCTTCATTTTCTTTTTTTTTGAATTAACGGATCTGATTTTTCTTGATTTTCTAGCCTTCCTAGATAAGAAACAATATGCTTTATTTTTGTTCCTTTAGATCTACCAAATATGAATTTTCATATTACTTTAATGATTCTGGAGTTGAACAGTCTTTCTAAACAATGTACACATCTCAGGACATGTTCAACAACAACAACAAAACTCCCTTCCATGTTGCACAATTATTTGTCCAGTGTTTTAATACTGTATTTTAGCCCTCTAAATTAGATGTTATTACTGTGAATTTATAAAATATTTATTTAGATTTACCCATATATTTGCAGTTCTTTGAGTAACATTTTTCCTTTACAATTTATTCTGTAACTTGTCTATTAAATATATTGTCCACAGACAGCTTCAGTGAGGATGGACTGATACTATTCTGTGATTGCATAACAGGCTTTGCCCACATTCTTGACAAACAACCTGCTGGGTACCCATCCTAGGTGGATGGTTATACTTACTGATTTTGGCTAAGATCACAGCCTAGTGTCTCCTGGCCTCCACACTGCTTGTGAGAAACCACTTCTGTCTTACAGAGATTTTCTTTATCGGGGTCTCTGACGAGCTGCCTTTATGATCAGCATTTCTTTTTCTTTAGACTACTGCTGTTTCACTCTGTTGTCTTGGAACAATCTTTTTACTCATTCTGCTTTGAGCCTTTTTGACCTTACTGAATCTGATGATTGATGCTTTTCATCAAAATTCTCAGCTATCATTTCTCAAAAAATCATCTTAGTTTTCTCTCTCTTTATCATTTATTCTAGCAAATTCAGCTTGCACCTCTGCTTCCTTTTTGTGATTTCCATTTCTTGACAGGACCATGGCACCGTTGATAAGATGCAAAACTGAAGCCAGGCTCTGGGTAGGATACCTGGCTCTACCTCTTTGCAGCTGTAAAACTTTGAGCTGTAGAACTTTGAACTCTGTGCCTCTGTCCTTTTTTGTAAAATGGGGAAATAACAGCATCTACTTCGTGAGAGTGTTGTGAAAATTACAAGTGAAAACACACCATGTATAAATTGCTAAGAAGCTCGTACTGTGTGCTACCTTCTATTTTTCTTTCTGGGTTGCTTTCTGAGCAATCTTTTCATTTCTATTGTATGGTCCACCAATTTGTGCTTTCTTTGTCTAATATGACCTTTGAAGTTCTAGTTCTATTGTATATTTTTCAATTTCAAAAATCTAATCTTCCAAAAGTAACTTTCTGTAATTTTTCAAAATGTCTGGTCATTTAAAAAATCACTTACTTTAAATATATTCTTTTATTTCTTTGTATTTTCACATTTGCACTGGTATTTTTTTCTGCTAGGTACCTTCTGCCAGATATCCAGATACCTGGAATTTTAAGTGCCCAACAATAATTCAGATTCTTTCCTCTAAACTAAGGGCTCCATTGTATTTATGAATTGTTTGGGGAAGAGTTTATTTCACTTTCATCAAAAGCTAAAAGCAAGTATTGTGTCTTTGTCTGGAGTGAGATTTTTCCAAATGTTTTTTTTTTTGTGCTGGCTTTGTGTGGTTGAGTCCAGTCTGACCTACCCCTATATGGAACCCTGGCTTAGTGTGCTGTATCCTGGTCACACTGAACTATTAGCATGAAATTTCAAGGTCCTCAACATTAACAAGTAACCACTGGGAAGCCACTGCTGTCAGTACTCACTTATGAACTTGCCTTTCTGGATTTATGCTTTATAAAACTATTTTTTCTCATAAGATTTTGTATTTATTTCAAATTCATTCATAAATTTTAATGAGATGCTCTTATTGCCTAGTGATGTACCACAGTAGTAAAGCATGTACTTAGCATATACAAGACCTCAGGCTCAATTCCCAGCACAGTTAAAAAAGTTTAAAAAGGTAATTGGCATTTTAAGGTAATTTCTTTTCTTCCTTTCTTTTTTTTTTTTTTTTTTTTTTTTTTTGTGGCACCAGGGAGCAAACTTACAACCTTGTGCTTGCCAGGCAGGCGCTTATGCTGCTGAGCTAAATCCCCCAGCCCTTAAGGTAATTTCTACTGTGAATTGAATTCTGCACTTTCCAAATTGTACTATAGGTTCCTTACCATCATTACATTCTCAACACCTGGTAGAAATGGGCATTGATAATAATAAATAAAGAATAATTAGATGTATAGTTGGCTATTACTTTGATATTATTTAGATAGTTGGTGGTTTAAGCAATTTAAGAAATGTTACATTGGGAACATACTGTTACAGCTCTGAACACAGTAAAAGTCCTCCATCTGTAGTTTCAGGAATCTTTAAGATCAGTATTCCACAAGTTGGGGATAGGCTACGTTCTAAAACTTTCTTTAAATTCAGTGTTTTTTTGTATTTAAAGGGTATGTTTTTAAAGAAAATAATTCAATTGACCATGCATAATAAGCACAGGTGTTGCATTCTTGGACTCAATTGAGAAAAAAAAGTAGTAATGAACTTTTGTTTTGCATTGACTTATTAAAAACCATTATTCCATAAACTATACAGTGTAACAGCTATCTTCATAGCATTTACATTGTTTTAGGTACCATAAATCATCTAGAAATGACAAAACATGTGGAAGGAAGCTGGGGATTTAATTCAGTGGTTCAGTGACTGCTTGATAAGCGTGAGGTCCTGAGTTCGATTCCCAGTATAAGAAAGAAAGAACAAAAGAAAGATAGGTAGATAGATATGAGAGATGTGCATGTTATATGCAAATATTAGAATGTTTTATTTAAAAAATGAACAGCCACAGATGTTGATATACTTGGGTGTCTGGGATTTGAGCTCCTGCAGACACCAGTGGGGAACTGCATTCAGAATGTTGTTTTGCTCCCCAGACACACTTTGAGAGCTCATATCACTGAAAAAGCAATTGAATTATTTACATAAATTCATCTTAAAAATGCATTCTATATGTGTGTCTAATTTTATTTATATATCCTCAGTAAAGAAAAGAAATCTGGAGAATGTGATATAAATGGTGGATTTTGGCTTGCATTTATTGTCCTCAGGAAGGTGCATCCCCAATCCAGTGTGTTTACAAAAGAAATAACTTTTCCTGCCCTCTGCTCCTATGTTGGGAAAACAGATCTATCAGAAGATTTCATAAACCTGATTAGAAGTGACTATGAGATGACAGAGAATGAGAGAGAGACAGAGAGAGACAGAAAAATGTCCAAGGCAGGCAATTCAACTTTGAGACTGAAATGGTGAATACCTTTCATGCCCACTGGTAATGGGGATGTGAAGGTCCCATTCCCAGAGGTGAGAACCTGCACAGTTTTCCAGAACTACCCAGGCAGTTCTGCAGTGTGACCAGCACTGATGCATCTTTCAGGAGTGCTGAGAAAATAAAACCACCCCCAGCATTTCCACATGGAATGGGCTCTAGCATAGAGCTTCAGAGGCTGTGGCAGCACTGAGAGGGCAGGAACAGTAAAGGTCAGGTAGGGCTGAGGCTCTGCTCCTGAAATCAGGATATGCAGAGATCTCTGGAAACTACCAGTGAAGTGTGCAGCTGCTTGTGTGTGCGGTGTGATTTTGAAGAAGCCTGAAACCCACTGGGAATCTCATTTCACTTGAATCTCCCTGATCTTTGTGTTTTTAACCCATGACAAATAATAGCTTCATTTCAATTCCACCACTGTGACCACTGTGTACCTCTTACTATGGGAGCAGCTCATCCCACACTCTGTGGCCACGGATTCCAAAGGACACAAAGAAGAGGGAAGACAGTGCACATCTGATTACAGGTTAAGAACTGCTGCTTTGTGATAGATGAGTTTACAAAATCCATAGTATCTATGAAATTAAGCTTATTAACAAACTTGGAACACTGAAACGCTCACCAGAGCATTTATCCATATTTTTCCAGAAGTTAAACTGTCATAGTGGAAAGAAAACTTTTCAAATCTTCAGATTTCTTTAAGTTTCCAAAGAAAGTATCTTTTTTCCTCTCAAAGTTTAACTTTTCTGGTAGTGCTCAAAAATTTACAAATCAATAGCAAAAAGAGTCCATCATAAGTGTGTTGGTTACTTTTTCGTCCTTGCTGAGACCAAGTGACTGACACCCGAAAGTAAAGAAAGAAAGATTTATTTAGCTCAGTTTGTAGAGGTTTCAGTCTGTAATCAACTGGCTCCAAGGCAGTGTGACAAGGCAGACAGGCCCTGGAGAGGAGACACATTTCCTGGTGGTCAGACGGTAGCAATACAAGCAAGAAACAACCATAGCTCTTTCTATCCTTATATATATCCTTATATATATCCTTATCCAGGCTGCTTAGGGCAGGTAGTACTCACACCCTTAATCCCAGTGCCCTTGATCTTAGCATATGAATCAATTCTAGGGTCACACGCTCTAGATCCAGCCACTCTGAAAAAGCCCTACCCATGACTGCATGAGGCTTTGGGGGATATCAGGACAGAGTCATAACAAGAAGTTTCTGGTCCAGTAAATTAAAGCATACATATGGGAGAGACTCAGATGAATGTTATATTCAAATAGAGAGGCTTAATGATGGATGTCATGAAAATGTGACTGCAAGAACAAATAAACTGTCTGATACTAAAGTACGTGTTTTTTGTTCTCCACACCATTGCTTCACTTGTTAGCAAGTGACAGTATACATTTTGTAGAAGTTTTTTCTTTTTACAGAAATCTCAGTGCTTGATCATAGGCTTTTGCAGAGTCTGGGTATGGATGAAAAAAGAGAATCTCCTTCCAATGTGGCTGGCTTTCCACCTGCTTACTGAACCACTCAGCCACCTGGCATGTTCCCCACTTCTCTTTCACTCCTATGCCTCTTCCTCTTTCTCGTCCCTTCCTATGTTTCTGTAACTCTCCTCTCCTCCTCCCTTTACGCATTTTTAAAGGCTTCTGTTAAAAGGTTTGCTGGTGGAGCCAGACAGAGCTGTGATCAGTCCTGTGTGGGATTTCTCAGTGGCTAGGTAACATCAGACACTGTGTCCATAAAAAGGCATCATTCCAGAGGGAACCAGCTGCCTCCATAACTCTTGAGACTCTCTCATGCCTTAAGCAAATCAATGTTTACTGTTTTTAGGTCTATACTAATTTTAAAATATGGTGCTTAAAATCATGGTTGGTACACCTTTATTTTACAAGGGATGTATTGTCATCCCTGTTTATCTATAAGGAAGCTATAGGCTTAAAGACATCAAACATACAAGGAAACTATAGGCTTAGAGACCTCTAAGCTAATAATATCTAATTAGTGGTAAGCATCCCACTGTATTCTGGGTTTTCCTAATTATATAATATTTTTATGCCTCTTTTTTGGGAATTATAATTTATGAAGGTCATTGGCAAACCAGAATGTTCCAGTAGAATGATCATAATAAAGAAAATATTGAAAATCACACCAGCACTATCACTTTCATCAACAATAAACACTTACTGAGTGTGATATGTGTGCTAAATTCTATATATTTCATATAGATTACTCAAATGTATGTAAAATACTTAGTCCAACTTTATAAAATAGGAAGCATTATCCTTATTCCAATTTGAAGGTGTGGAAAATGTTAAGAATGGAAATGTTTGTCAACAGTGGGCCAGCTAATAAATGATGCAGGCAGGATTCCAGGGCCAAACTTTGTAGGCAATCAATTATACTCTGTAGTCAAAAGCAGTATCATAGTCACCTTAATAGCCTGAGTAAGAAAAGATGACAGGGCATAGAGGAAGGCAGAGGTTGAGTACAAAGGAAGAAGATGAAAATGTTCAGTTGATGAGGGAATATCAGTAGGACAGGAAAAAAATTCACTTTTTACAGTGCCTGAGAATGTAACCAGGATGACAGCGAGGGTGATACCCAGAAACAGATTTCTGTAATATGATACAGAACTTCCAGCAGTTGTTTCTGTCTAACTAGTCACAGACTTCTTCTTATAAAACAGTGAATTCTTTTACTTGGAAGTTCCCAGGTGCTAAGGAAATTTCCTAAATTGAAGAGAATATTGGATTTTATATGACCTCTAAGCTAAGAGATGACCTCTAAGATGCTTTGGATGTTCAAGTCAGCTTCTTTGATCTATCAAAGCAGCCTAACCAATTTAAGTATATAATTTTATATGTACCTGCATTGAAGCAAAATGAGTATAAATGTTTGAACCCAGGGAAGGAACTAATTTAGTCACTGAGCTGAGCTCCCAATCCAGTCTCAAGTGCCATCAGGGTTTCTTGCCAACTGTCTCCTGAAAAATGTCTTGGAGAAAAAGCTCCCCCAGAGCAGCCTATGTTCTAATTAAGTAGAAAACCATTGTTCTTGAGTTTAACTTTTTTACTTGGAGGACATATTTCTGCCTCTGCAGTTGAACGAGATAAGTAACAAAGGGTGGCAAAGGCAGGTGACAGTTTCAAGGAACAGCAAACATAAAAGCTGCTCGTGTGAGACCTGGAGAAATGAGCAGTGGTGACATGTCTTAGGGCAATCAAGCACACTGTGTTCAGACACGTCTTTGACTCCTCCTGGCAAAGACGAATGATCTCAGGATATTGGTGAGGAGAAGCAGCAAGGATGCTCAGGGTCTTCCATCGTGCAGATGAAGTCCTTCTTTACATACCCATTAGCTTCATTATGTAAGGACTCTCCAGAAGGGTGCGGCAGAAATAAGATGTCAGATCTCAGTGTTTGCTTCTAGAGCTCACTCAAATAATTCATAACGGTGACTACCATTTCATATGTTACATGTTTAGATATGGTATCTCAATAATTTACATGCAAAGGATGTTCTGAATTTAACAGTTTATGGTTGTTCTTTCAAATATCATGTCACATATCTTCTACATGATCCTGACAGGGAGATATTATTAAAGCGTATTTTTAATTGAACCATTAAGAGCTAATTATAAAGGTGCATGCTACTGTTCTGAATGCAACTATGATTCATTTTGTTTCTGTTAGCAAAGTCCTTATCATCAAATTAAGAAGTATGGGAAATTTTTTTGTGGTGGAGAAATGTGAAGTGGCTGAAATACTTAAAAATATTTGTTTATGATTGTGAAAATGGTAGTCTTATAATTGCAGTAAACTTGGCATACATTGAAAAAGTATACACAGAAAAATAAGAAATATTCACAATTCAATTGCCCAAAGAAACCATGCTTGCATTTTTAGTATAGTTACTTTTAATAAGTACCATACATACATAGAGATTATGTAGTGGACATTCCTGTGCATATACATTGTTGTCTGCTTTAGTTATGAAAATTTTCTATTCCATTTAATATTCTCAGTAAGCATTACTTTAGTAAATCGGTAGATCATGTGAGTGTGGCATAATACATGAAGCTTTTGGATTACTACTCTCTTGAGTATAGTGTACATATTTGGTAGATTTTGCCGATGCTGCTCTTTACAATTCCTGAAGATGGCTCCCATCCCAAGGAACACAATTGCTATCAGTGAACTTGCCATGCATTACCAAGTTGAGATCTAGAGATGAGGTATCAATTTCAGCTCTAATGAGCAATGTCGTTTCATCTTTACCATCAGGGAAGATTGTCATCATAGTTCATTTGTTTTATAGATAAAAACAGTCTTACTACGGTTTTAATTTTCACTCAGTTGAAAACCATTGATGACACCATGACTTTGTCTTGTCAGCACAACTCTTTGAGAGATACGAGTAAACAAAGTGTCTGTCAAGGGCAGTCTATACTTGATCTTTCTTTCTGCGCAGAGGTGAGACACACAGAGGAAACTGCCAACCAGGCTGGCTCTGAGGGATCAGGGCTGGCACTGAACAGAAGAGCAGGGAGCACAGCAGCGATGAAAATGCATCTGTTGTTTGTCAGCTTGCTTCTCTCTGTCCACTGGGAGTGTTTTCCATTGAGTGAACTGCGGCCAAATGCCTGCTGGGGCTCACATTCCTGTGATAAGCACTATTTCTAGCATTTGCTTCACAGTATGGAGTCTCTGTTCCTAAAGACTTCTCTGCAGAGCGCAAACCAAGGATGGGCTCCAGGGAGAGACGTGAACATCTGGTGGCTAGAAAATGTGTCAACAATAAATAGTTCCTTGGAGGTAGTGACCTTGTTCATGCTCCGCTCTTCTTAGTAGAAACATAACCAGTTGGCATCATTGTTTGTTTGTCTGGATAATGATTTCCATTCTCAATCTTTGGTTTTCAAATTGCTAATTTGAAAATGTTACTGTGGAAAACTTGAAATAGGTAGCAGAGTGGAGAACTATCCATTATCCAGCTACACGCCATTACATAAAATCTATTGTAGGGTGCTTAGAACTGACTCGGCTCTCCACAAGCCCCCAGGACTATTTCATTTTGAAGAAAATCTCAGATGTAATATCATTTAATCCATACGTATTTTCATATGTAGCTCTAAAAGATGTAACTTTTTAAAGATGATGTAACCAAAATGACACTACTATCTTGCCCCAGAAAATACTAAATAGCCAATGAGGTTCAAATTTTCCTGATGGTTTCACTGTTTTTATTTTTATAGTTTGTTTTCATTTGTCTCTTGGGTTGAGGTCCACAGTCCACATGGGACCTATACATTACAGAACTGCATTTGTCTAATGTGTATATTTTTGAAGCTATAATCCTTACTTCTCCTTTAATCCGCAGGCAACTCTAGATCTTATTGGTGGGAAATGTATTCAAATAGGTGCCCATGGTCTGGATTCTGATTGTTATTATGATGGTTACTTCTAGATACAACTAGGAAGTTAGGAATAGGACAGTGTTTCTGTTCTGCTTTCACAATTCTAACAACTATTTATTTATTTACATAACCATTTGTCCCTCTGCATGTTTGCTCAGTATGATTGCTGTAATTACTGATGTTCTAGGGGTGAAAATAGGGATAAGCCACCAAGTGATCTGGCTCTCAAAAATCTTCCTTTACACTTTGTCACACCAAGGAATTGAACAAACAAAAGATAAATCAAGGGAAGAGACATGTTATTTGGAGTAAAATCATGGAGTAACAGAGATAAAAATGACAACTACCAGCATCCGAATTGACCTGTTCCTTTGCAGATAGTTGTGCTATTGTTAGCAGAGGAAAATTAGCTCAAGGTGACCTAAATCAGTGGTCCTCAGGTAGAACATGACCAGGACTCTGCTACAGAATGTGTTCAAACCTGATTGCTGAACCTCTGCAAGAGGTTCTGACTCAGAGGTGGGATGACACTGCTGTATCAGTGCACTGGCTGAGGGGCACTGATCTGTGACGGCTAATTGCATAATTGCTTCTTGGCTATACTCTTGGTGAAGTACAGATGAACTCACTTGGAGCTACCTGGGAGCAAATGTTGGAGCAATCGAGTCATGGATAAATTGTGGATTGATCTGGTATGAAGTATGGAGAAGACTTGGTGGCCTTTCTTAATCTACTTCAATTTTACTTTTTAATGATAGAATCAAACCTTTGGGATAGTTCCTATTGAAAATCAAATCCTTAAAACAGTGTCTATCTCTCCTGGTAAATTGAAGATGTTGGTCTCAATTTCAGCCTGTTTCAAACACCAGGAAGCTTCCTGTGAGTCTTATAGAAGCTGGAGGCAATTTTTGTCTGGAATCCTGTGGCTTCTGTCTCTAAACCTCTTTTGGCCCACGTTACTTCTTATGGGATTTGTTTAGACATTTTTGAACAGAAAGTGAGCTGCAAACTAAGTATTGCAGAGATGCAAATTTTAATTCCAGACAAAAGACTACACTGATTTACTTGACTCACAGCCCCCACATTTGATTAAACACAGCCACAAGTGCTGAAGGTTTAAAGAACTCATAGTCCTGTGTGTGAAAAATGGATGACAGATTTCCCAAGAGTCAAGATAGATACCATCACTCAGTAGCAATGCAAGAATCTCAGGTTAAGAGCCATTTTTAGGAATGTAAAATGTCTAAATGCTTTGTGACCCTCCCCACAGATCTATTTCCTCTTCTCTTGTCTACTATTTGACTGGTAATAAGGGCAGGTTCCAAGAAGAAAGAATCTGCCCTAGAGAAAAGTTCCAGGGCAAAGGATAGGTGGGTGATCACAGGGGACTGAGACTCGTTTGTCTTCCTGAGGAGCCATTAGAATGCTCCCTTGATCGTCTTGTAAACAATGACTTATTCACCTCCATATTACTTAATAAGTGTTATCTACTAAGAACGCAAGAAATAAGGTTGGTTAAGGAACTCAGGGGTGTATGCATGGAAAGTGGGTAAGAAAGGTCTTACAGTGTATGAAAGAAACTAAGGAAAGAAGAGAGAGATGATTATCACTGCCTACCTTAATATTGCTTTTGATTGGACACAGAATTTTACTACTCACACCATCTGTCTTTGTTTCTCTAGGTAATTCATCAGTGTATCATGTCATGAATCAAAGACCTGTTTTTTTGGCAAAGTAAATCTGTTATCGGCAAGACAGCACAGAGTGGTTGTCCTTCTGGTGATAATGTCTGAACAGATGGAGACATTAATTTAAAAAACAAGTCACCTCCTAAGAACATTGTGTTTAGGTAGCTATTACCAGCAAAGTGCTATGTGATAAGTCATCCCAAAATTCAATAGCATAAAAGATCAATTATTTATCTTCATATACGTACGCTGTGCTTTGGCTGCAGGTGGCTCTTAGATTTCCTTCTATGTGTGGAGTTTGCTGACCAAGGCTGGGCTCTCCCTGATGGATTAGCACCCTCTCCCTTGTGTCTCTCTTCTTCTTCCAGGGACCAGAGGCTGACCCAGCATGCTCTGTCATAGTAACGATGGAGAAGTAAGCGAATGCACATTAAGGCCTAAGTTTGGAGCAAGTACACTGTCACTTCTACCTTTTTCTATTGGCCAAATGCAAAGCCAAGGGGTCAGAAATACATTTGCTCCTGCGGTGGGAGGAGCTACAAAGTCACCTATGATAATGTTGTAGGCTTGTGTACATAGGGATGGTAAAGAATTGGGCCAATAATGCCCTTAACACACTGTATGCAGGTTTTATTAGTTTAGTTCCACATTGTTACATATAAGACAGTTCAGATAGAATGCCATTGAATTTGGATGCTAATTTGCAATGTTTTCTTATGGGCAAATTATATTTTTAAAAAATACATTTAGCCCCCATGACGATGTATGTTTGATCTTGTTCAAAGTTTCTTCTTTTGTGATCTAGACTCCTCTAATTACTTTTCTGTATTTCCTGTGGTTCCTGTGGTATGCTTGTCTGCCTTGAGCCTTGTTAGCCAACCACAAATTCTTAGCCTTTATATCTGCAATTGGTCCCGTGCATGAAATATGCACTGTGTTCAGAGTTGCTACTAAAGAGCATCCAATTCATGCTTCTAAAATGCTCATCGGTTTTATACTCAAGTAAGTGAAATATTATTCTCTCCTTGGATATTTTGTGTAATTTCAGCCAGTGCGTATTCAGAACCTCCAATAGAAGCTTCTAAACTGGATCCCTTACATTTCTTTTCTGTCTCGAATGTTCATGATAGTTCTGCCTCAGTATCTTCCCAAAAGAACTAAGAGCATCATACCATTGTGATGTTTACACATCTATGCTTATTGCAGTGTTGATATTGTAATCTTCTTTATATAAACTGTATGCAGAGAGATTGCATGAATTGTTGAAGACCAAATTGGTAATATCAGCAGGATTCAAACATGTAATTTAGCTACAAAATCAATGGCTTTTCTACTATTTTCTACATGTCTTTTGTTTTTTCACTTCCACCACCTAAAAATACACTTTGGCTTTTGGATTTTCCTTGAGATGGAGTGCAGGGTAGCTTTGATGCTAGACATGTTGATGATATGTGTTAGTGGAATCCTTTCTTAGTCCCTGAAAGAGCTTATAGTTTGGCAAGGCATGTCTAATTATCTTCTAGGTAGTGGATGTGAGGATTTACACAACTATTAAATGGCCAAGCTGGAAGAAAAGCTCAGTATATTTTTCAACTGCATCACTTAAATTACTGCATTTAATCACAGTATTCAAAATGTATTATAGTCAACAATTTTGCTAATGGAACCATTTAGTTAATGCAGACACCAAAAAATGCATTTTTCTATAAAGTTCTAGGAGAATTTGGAAACGATGAAACAGTGGGTGTTCATCACATTTTAATAGCCTAAAGATAAATTAGTACAGGAGAGCGGCTGTGGAGTCAAGCAGTCAACGAGGTTCTGGAGTGTGAGGCTTGTCATAGAAAATTTTAGAAACTTGGGCTGTTGGTAACTGGTTGCTGGTTACATAATTTCTTGAATAAATTAAGTAAAAGAATAATTTTAAAAGCAGTAAAACTATGAAAATCTAAGGAACTTTGGAGAAAGAAAATTGGAGCTTTTTTCTTTACCCTGTCTTCATTTTCCACTTTGTACTATAAACGTAATGGTACAAAAGACCAACAGCTTCTTTTTCCTTGTGCTATTTTGATCTACCACTGTGTAGCAAGGAATATTACACCATGCTTTCTTTACTCGGATATGTAGAAACAGGATGTAAGCTGCTCGGTTCTTTGCAATCCCTTCCCTTTAATTTGTGTCTCAAACAATAAGAGTTTCAGAGAACTAATGAATGGTGTGTGTGTGTGTGTGTGTGTGTGTGTGTGTGTGTGTGTGTAGTTCAGAATACTGAACCAGGGCATTTGAACTGAAGCCCATTTTTATTTTATATTGTAAGAAAGCATCTTGCTAAGCTGTTCAGGTTGGGCTCAAATTTAGAATTCTCTTGCCTCAGCCACCCAGAGTACTAGGATTACAAGCAGGTTCCAGCCTATCTAGATTGGATTAGCTTTATCCTCATGAAAGATGTAAAATGTTTCTCCTGAATTCTTCTAGACCGATTATTACAAAGACTATTGGTTATTGATTTATTTCACTGAAAAAAATTTAAGGACAAAAGTCTCTAAATGCGGAAGAAGAGTAATGAAAAATTGATATTTACAGAGTGGCTGATCACCTGTGTTGGGTGCCTTACTTAATTTATTTCATTACTAGCCCCATATTATAAGTGAGGTAAACATAACATTCTGATCCATGCAAACAGGACAGAATTCTAACTTTCTTTTTGTTTGTTATGAGATTTTGATGGGTTCAAAACTTTTAGGAAACTTTTTTGCTTTCATATTAAAGCACAGTTCTTAGATATATAAACATGTTAGGGGAATAAATATTAGCATCATAAGATGAATATTAATTTAGTGTGTTGACTTCCTGTATGCAAATTTACATATCCCACTGTTTAATTCAAGAGAATTTGCCTCTGCCCAGATTTCCAGAAACAGTCCTGAAATTCATTCTGACTGGGCCATCTCGAGTCCATCATGAGTCAATCCTGCTCGGGAGTGAGACAGCAGTGGGGTGTGTTGCTCAGTTTAGCTCAGTCCATGTTCAGAATCCACTTGTGGAGTGAAGGGAAAGAGTCAGCTTCTCCAGAATGATGTGGATGTTGTGGAAATGAACTTGGAGGAAGACAGAAAAACAGAGTCTGGAAGCACAGGTAAACATAACCAATCACACGACATCATTCATTCTTCCCATGAACCAAACAACTGTCTTGCTAAAAACAGTGGGAGAAGTGCTAAAAGGTAGACATAGTTCCTGCCCTGAGCGTCTTTATTATTGGGGTAGGGGAGCAAACTTTGTAGCTTGAAATTTTGAAATGATGTGATACAATAGTTATTTGACTCTGAGGGTAGGTAGGGAGTCGCTTATGGGGAAAAATGGGACATCTTAGGAGGAGGAGAAATAACATAGATTGTGAAAAACTAGTTTAGATTTTTGGGGCCATGTGTGGTTAGTTGCTGAAAGAAGATGGGATACTGGGAAAAAGAAAAATAAACTTTATTAAGGGACAGAATGGACAAAGAAATTAGAAAAATAAGTAATGCCCAGGGCATTATAGAAAATTCTGGGTTCCAAAGCCCTAACATTACCAAGCTTTATTTGGGATCAGTTCTTAACAAACAAACAAACAAAAATAGGGTCAAAAACTTAGGAGTATGTTGAGAAAAGTCTCACTTCTTGTTGACTGAAAGTCATGACTTCCTTATTTTGGAGGGAGTTAGCCCTGTTTGTTAAAGAAATTAGTGCAGAAAACACTGCAAAGTGTTTGTTTTTAGTATGTATGGTTTCCCTTTAAGAATTTCTATTTCTGAGGCAAGTTTCAACTAAGTTATTTGTATATTTTTTTCTACTAGAGACCATAAAGTAGTTTAGCTTTTAGTCAAATTTTCAACTTAAATTTTTTTTTGTTTTTAAATATTAAGGGAAGTATTTTCGTATATACACTGGAAGTAAAGTGCCTGATGTGTAACCAGGGTAGTAAGAGGATTGAGCATGGCCTAGCTTTATACAAGATCCCTCGAAAGATATGTGAGAGGTTTCCCAGTTAGGGAGCCTTAATTTTCCATGCTGAATGTGAGCCACAAGAAATAATTCCATATCCAAACCACAGGTATGATTCAAGACAGATGGGCCTTGCTAATTATGTGTGTCTCCAGCTAAGGTTCAAATTTACTTGATTTTCCTAAATGTACAGAAGACATCATCAGATAATATGGGCCAGAAAATACGAGTGAGGCCTTGTAAGAAGAATAAAAAACTGTTTTCAAATCTTAGACAGGGAAAGTTATGCTTCCTTTCAAAATATGTGGGCTAAAACTGAACCAAAAAAAAGGAATTATAAATATTGCCAAAACTTCCGTTTTTACTGAAACTTCCCATTTCCCTAAAGAGTAAGTGTATTGAGGACAATTTCAAAAGACTAACACTAGATAATGAAAGTCTACACGAAGATTGGGTACTTGCTGATAGATGCATGTCAGACTGAAACAGAGAAGACTATGGTAATTCTCATAAAGCCTTCAGTATTTGGGTTTTCTCTGGGATGCTGTTTCCCACACTCTTACCCCACATTTCTCTGTCTTCAGCTCTCACCCTTTCTCTGCCAGTCAAATCCTTCTCATCCTTCAGTTTAACTTCAAAAGCAGCTTCTCCATGAACCCTTCCTGGTCTCCTCCTCAGTTCAGTTTTTCTCGTTTTCTCACTGTGATACTCTTAAGGCACCATCTGATTCCATCTCTTTCCTGTTTTTTCCACCTATATGGTCTCCTTCATTAGATTATAAACTACTTGAAGGAAACTGACCTTGTTTTCCGTTGTGTTCTTCATGCACTCTTTATACATCTTTTGAGCAAACACATGCATCTTAAGTACAACAGTTCAAATTATTCATAAATATAGTTGTATATTAAATATTCCAGGACATAAGCACTATGGTATTGATATAATGGAGTGAAACTCTCAACCTACTATATGTTTGGTACCAGTTTGTGTTCTCTAAAATCAAAGAACAAATTTCAGGAACAATGGATGTTAAGATCAGAATATCTTTATTGAGAGAAAAGAAAGCTTCTGCCTGAAAGAGAGATGGAAGGGCTTCTGAGTGGGTTGTCAAAGACTTTCTTTTCCAGAGACTTAACCATGAGTTAAGATGGGTCCAAGGTGGGGAAAACATGGGGGCTCACAAGGCAGGTAGGCATAAGGTGGTACCGAACTAGGGTTAACCAATGAGATTAATTGCTCAAGTAAAAATTGATTAAGTCAGAAACAAATGAGGAAGTGAGTCCTGTAGCAAGCCTGCATGCTTAAAGAACAGTGACTCTTACAGGGAGTTGGGATGGTGACTTCTGGCTTCCTCAGGGTGGAGTATACCTATTAGAATATCAATCCTTAGGATATGGGTGTATTTGTTTGATCATTTGTCTTGAGGTCTGGCCTATATTGGGGGGTGTCTATCTCCCCCACAGTTGAAAGGTATCTGGTCTTCTGCACTGGCTCCTTCAGGAGCTATCCCTGTCTGACTGCCTGTAACATTTCTATCTAACTAGTTGCCAATACTGGCAAAATATAGCTGGCAAAATATTCTTTTCTTTGCTGTAGCTGAAAGAAATAAATTATACTGAAATTCTCCATAATTAAAAAGTTTACAAATAGTAAGGGAGATTTTAATCCTTAGTTTCATCAATTAGTCAACAAAAACTTTAGTAATTAGTAGGTAAGCAGTATCACACTATTGATGGGCTCAATATTCAAGGTCCCTGTTCTAGTGAGGAAAACGGTCAAATGATGTTCAAATTAATGAACAAGTTTACAGTTCAGCATTCTGCTAGGTGCAGCAGCTTTAGAGAAAATATGATGTAGAAGGTCATTCCTGCTGGTGAACTTGATTTCAGACAGAGAAACTCTTAGGCATGGAGCTTCCAGGAAAGACTAAGAGCTGGTAAAGGACACACTGCTGAGGAAGAATGGTGGTGAATTTGTATTCCATCTCCATCCACATTTGTCTCACTCTTGGCTTCCATGAAATCACAGAGGTTGCAGAGAGTAAGAAAGTCTCCTTGGCTAGTTGAGTGACAGCACAGGGATTTTGTCAAGCTTCAAGTGCACACTTGTAGCAGAGTTAAGCTACACATCTCCGGCTGGGTTCAGATTCACTCCTCTGAGGGCTTCCAGGTTGGTCTGTGGGGCGGGGGAATTTTGGAGGCATGAAGAGTGAGCTTTACAGTTTTTCCTTGAGGCTTTTCAGTGAATGATCTTCTTCCTGCAATCTCAAAAGTCTATGAAAATGAGTGTTTAAAATAACCAAGAAAGTAAATGAGCATTTAATTTGTTAAAATGTCCACACAGACAGGGGGTTTTCTGAAACCCCAGCATCAGATTTGGGGGCCAGGAAGAAATGTCTCTGGCTACAGTTCTGCTGTTGAATCTAAGGTTGGAGGAGTGAGATAGGATTGCAAAATCCAGGTTTTTGTCAAGTCACAGAATCTCAGGATTGGCCATTTTCTTGACCTGCAGATTCAGTGTTAAAAAATCTGGCACACACACAAAAATCTGTCAAGTTTTTCAGAGAATCTTTGGGTTTCTTCTGTGGAGACTGAGTGAATCAGTGACAGACTTGCTTCCCTCTTTCAAGACTTATGGGAACTTACTTCAACCCCTGTGGTATGCGGTGGGGGATAAACATTTGGAGGGAAGAGGTGACAGCCTGAATTTTCACAGGCATTCTATTAGAACTACCCATAAGAAAAGACAAAAAAAAAAAGTGGGTCCATCAGTAATTAGAGAGAATGAGGGAGCCAGAAGACAGCAGAGTCCAGCTGCAGCTGGTGGCTAGTCTTTGGAGGGCTGGTCTTTGGTTAGAAAAGAAAATCTAACTACAACTGGAACCACGAAAGAAATGGACAATATGTGGAGTGAGGGGCGGGTTTCAAGGAGGCTTGAGATGCTGAAAGGGCTGGAGGTAAACCAGGTACTGGGCAGAAGGCAAGTTCAAGAAAGGAATGGCATGACTGATGCTTGGTGTTTCCAGAAAAAGGTCACATCTGGCCATTCATCTGGGGATGACTTGGCACAGAGTAGCAGGCATTGCAGATGCCAGCCTCTGACAACTAGATATGGCCCTTCGCAGACCTGGCCCTCTGGGGCACAGCAGGTGAATAGATGTTTTGGTTTATCCAGTATTGATGGTTGGTAACTTCTTTCAGTCATTCTGACATGGAACATAGATCTCATCCTACTGTAATAATCTCTTGGTGAGATTTACAGTCTCAACTATGGGCGGGTAAGGGCTTGAGTTCAAAAAAGTAAAAGAAAACTAAGAAGGGGTTTAGGACTCCCTTTAAGACAAATTAGATTTTAGTAATTAAATTTTAAATGTAGTTTTGTTTTTATCTTACACTGTAATCTTTTCAAACATTTATTGGCTTTAGAGAATACTGAATGGGCCCATTTTAATTACTTCTCCAAGTCTCCTGCTAGTATTCAAATTAATTGCTTTTAAATAGCCTGATAACTGGTCATAGAGACATCAAAAGTGCACTGGCAAACCCAAGGACTGGCTATCGAAGGCAAATTCAGAGTTTGGAAGGAGGCACGGATGAAGCAGAATAGCTACTATTTTTGCCTCCCCAGAAGGGTAGTTTCTGTGGTGCTGTGGCCCTGTGATGTGGACAGACCAACTGGGCTTCGGAGTTAAGCATATGAGCATCTCATATCGGTGCTACCATTTGATGGATGAGAAAAATCTAGGAGACTTGCTTAACTTTCTTGAAACTCAATTTCTTCATGTAAAATCTGAGATAAAAACACCCACATTGTAGACTCCTTGAGAGAATTATAAGTAACATATGTGTAATTTTCATCATAGTTTCAGGAAGAGAGGAACTACTCAGGACTTGCCAGCCTAAGTGATCGATCAAGTATACTACAACAGACATACCCGTTATTGATCAGAAATCATAAATCAGATGTGCACCAGTTTGAACAGAAAGTGAGGATTAGCTTTAACAGCCCGGCCCGGTTGGTTCTATATCACATTCACTTTAGAAATCTTGCTTTTCAACCATAAATGTTGGTTAATTTTTCAAATGAAATACTCTCTTTGCCTTGTTTAATGGGATCAACATTTTCTAAATTCATTTTCCATTCCTAGTCCTCCTCAGATTTTCTGCTGGCATGAAAGCTGGATTTCCTGGAGATTACATTTGCCCCTAAAATAGAAGTCAGTGATTTCTCCAGGGCTTTGTTCAGATGTAACGGGCACTCTTAGTTTGATCTGGGGACACCTGAAGATCTTCTAGGGGTGTTTTTTGTTTGTTTGTTTGTTTGTTGTCTTTTTCATTTTTATTAGTACCAGGGATCGAACTCACAACTGCCTGCTTGCAAGGCAGGCGCTTATGCCGCTGAGCTAAATCCCCAGCCCTTATTTCTTACATTGTGCACTTGGCTCACCAAGTGCCTGCTGATTGAGCATCAGTCTTCAGGAGTAATGAATTACTTGAAGATAGTGTTTTTCCCCATGTTATTCCTTTCCTTGCTAATTTCAAAATTTTGTCCACAAGAACTTCAGATAAAGATTGCTGGCTGATTAGAATCATCTGGATAAAATATTTTAAAAATACACAATAGGGGATAGCTTAATCTAGAGAGCAGGAATGAACTTTTAAGGAGCACTTTGCATCTTTGAATATAAATCAGTTTGGCATCTAATTCTATATCCATAAATATTACGTCTTCGCATGACCATTCTTGTTAGATATCACTTTCTGGAAATCATCCAAAATATGTAAATTTCTTACTTCACAAAAGCATTTGTCAAAATTATTTATAACCATATTGAGTTAGAAATATATCACATTTGAAAAATTAACTAAATGATTTCAGAAACATCTACTTGAGAAGATATTATGCAGTCATTTAAGACCAAAGACACATCAAACCCCAGTTCTTATGATGAAAAATACATCTTAAAAATCAAAGTACTCTGTGATTATTACTATCTAGCTCACGCAGGTACATGGAAAGATGCTAGCAGGAAATATACTAAAATATGAAAGAGTAAAAAAGATTCTGCTCATCTAATATTTTCTTACTTTCTTTTATTTAGCTGCCTCTTTTTCTAACTTTTTTAAACCAAGAAAGGAAATAAAACCCTGGTGGTTCCTAGGAAAAATAAAGCAGGTGAGCAGTTGGTTAGTTAAACACACAAACTAGTCCAGTGGCCAGGAAGGAAAGAGACTCCATTGTCATGCTATGAATGGAACCCACTGCAGGTGAACTGCGTTAAGTAATCTCAGGAAAAACAGCCTACTTTAGTGCATTCCTGTTATTGTCTTACGTTCTGATGCCTCATGGAACTTAAGGAGACATGTAGACAAGGGAACAACCAGCATTGCTAAATTCAGTGGTCCTTTCTGTTCTTGGAACATGCATTCCAAGATCCCTCGTAGTTGGCTGAAACCTGAAGCATTGAAGTTCCAAACCCAGGAACTTAATGGCTTTCCAT